GGTAGGTCTGCTGCTGGCAGCGCCTCTCCAGGGAGGCCCGGGGAAGCAGCTGGCCGCAGTTGAGACCGTAGCGGGGGAGGGGACACTCACATCTGGGGGGGGGGGGGGAGGAGGGGGACAGTGGATATGGAGTAAAGCAGGGGGGAAGGGCAGGAGGCGGCGGGGGGGTAACCCCCCCATTGTTGTTGTTCGGCTCAAAGCTGACCGTGCCGAATCCCCCTCCACACGGGGCGGGTAACCATCCAATCCTCCCACCTAACCCTCCCTACCTGCCCAACTCCTCATTGCATGTGCCGTACACCGTACAGTTGATTGGGCACCTGCTGTCATTAACGGCCTTACGACGCCGCGCCCATTCCTCGCGGGAGGTGCGAGGACCTGCTTGTTGATGTTGATGGGACCCTGGAGTGGTGGTGGGGAGGTGATCCGAATCCAGATCCGGATTTCCCTGAGATTCGGTGCTGGTGGCGCCCTCGCTGTCCACGGTGTACTCCCCACGGTGCGTGTGGGGGTGTGGGGATGTGGGTTTAGGTCGGGTGGCCCTCACGCTGTGGGAGGCGGCTGCTGTGAGGTGTGGAGCGGCCGCTGCCCCTAGGGCCCCAGTCCCCACGCCACGGATACCAGTGCCGGTCTGGGGAAAGAGGGGAAAGAGGGGAAAGAGGGCGATAGAAGGATAGATAGTGGTAGGTTGGGATGGAAAAGGGAATGGAGGGGAGGAAGAAGCGACTGGCATCCGTGGAGTGTTGGAATTGGGGCCAACCAGCGGGCTTCGCAATGGCATCGGCCAATGTCATAATTGTTCCATTTATATTATAAAGTAACGAAATTGGGACTTCTGGTTGAGATTGTGGGAAAGATGCGCCCACCTCGAGTAGGGAAGATGGTGCAAGTGCGATGCAAGTTAGCAACAGCCAATAACAGCGGCAGCTTGGGTTCCGCTCCCTACAATTTAGACTAGATAACATTGATATATGCGATTATCCTTTTCACTCATGTCATCGGCGAGTTAGCCTAGGCTACAACATTAACATTATCATAGAAGCAGACCCTTTGGTGATGGCATATACCCAGGGAGGGTGCAGATGCGATGCGTAAGGAAGTTATGAAATCGTGTGCGCAGTCTTAGCGATTCAGGTACTAGGCTGTTACGGGATCCAGAAAGCTGTCGGGGCGGGCGCTGGTAACGGGGAAACTGGGGAAAGGCTATATGTTGCTTCCTTGACAAACAAACATTAAAGTAAAGTTAATACATATGCTGATACAATGGCTTTTCATCCTCTTTAATGGCAAGCCCAAGGCCACCCATCCATCATTTGTTCACTTGGCATGCTGAAACAGCATATATACCTCTTCATAATAGAAAGTGTACGAAATTCCTCAATACAATATCAGCTAATATCCCAACTCAACCCTGCAGTCAAATGAATTGCATATCACTTCGCAGTCCGCAGTCCTTTAACCCGTACCTCCTTTTGACAGTGTGCCACTCTCCCCTCCCACCTCCCTTTCACGCCCCCATCACACAACCCTTCCCCGCACCGCGCTAACCCCACTACAACCATGTCCGTGGACACTTGGCCAGGTTATGCCTGGAGCGCGCGCAGATGATGCCGCCAGGAATGCCGTGCGTCTTGGACGACCCCTGCACGAATCGCTCACACGGCAGCCTCCCCCGATCCATTATCGAATGACTGCACAGCGGATTCTGCTGCTCCGCCACCGCCCCCCCCTTTCCCCCAACCCCTGCACCCAACCCCGACTCCCCGCCACCTCCCCCGTCCAACATCCCCCACATATCCGGCACCGGCCCCGAAACTTTCCACCCCGGCGGATCCCGACACCTCATAAAAGTATCAAAATCCGGATCCAATTTTCGGTACGACTCTGGCGGCGCGTCAGGATGTGCGGCCTTAACTCGCAGAACTTCCAACGTGGTTTCAAACGCGTCGTACCGGCCGTCCTCCCCGAACAACCCCCCTACCATGCTACTGTACAACAAGTGCTGTGCCGCGCATCGCAACGCGACCTGCATCTCCGCCAGCTTATTCCCCGCGGAGATGCCCTCCAGGATTTCGTGAAGTCGGGGAATATCCGCCTCCGCCGGCCGTACGGCAAACTCCGTCCAATCGGTTTGCGGCTCAAATGGTTCGTACACGCCATCCGCAATACACACGGGGATGCAGCCCATGTACGACACGATGATCTGTCGCTGTCCGTGTCCCCCGCCCAGAGGTGCCAGACAAAACTTAGAGCTGACCAGAGCTTTGCCGTAATTCCTTTCAAACGTCACGATCCGAAATCCTGTACGATTCCAGTGGTGGAAGTGCACTTTCTGCCGTACACCTGCGCTGTAGCCCGGGCTGTTGGGCCCGCAGTTGGGCCATGTACCGGTGAGGAGCGGGGGATGGCGGTCCCCACATATGCGACCTGGGGGGGAGAGAAAACCGTGTATGTGTGTATTGGGGTTGGGGCACCGGGTAAGGCACGGGCGGGCAAGGGGGTAGGGCGGATGGGGGGAGAGCGATAAGAAAAACACAACAACAGCAAATTTGCTCATGTGTGTGTAACTAATCATCAAACCCCCTATCCTTCCCATTTCAAAGGAGTAAGCTCCGGCTATATGGAGTCCCTCTGTCGTACCGCCCTGGATCTGAATCTGGATCTTAATCCGAATTCGTACCCTCTCCTCCTATTCACTGATACTCGTGTGTAATAGCCCCCTCTGGTGCCCCAACGGGCCCCCGCCCTCGCCTGCGAAAAACAGAGTAGTGTTGCGTGTGTGTTTTTCCATGAGGGGGTGAAGGGGAGACAGCTCCACTCCGAACTGCTTCAGGAGCCCGGGGGAGAGATACACGGGAATGACCACATCCTGCGGGAGGAGGG